AATGATCATGCAGACAATGGACCCCGGACTAGGTGCGTTCCAATAAGTCTTCCTACCAATATGACCATCTAGGTTTTTAATTTTTAATTTTTTGGCTCAATTGAGTTTATATACAAAGTAAGATAGATCCGGATAGTGTTCTTGCTTTAGTGTTACCGTGAGACTTTTACAGGAATGATGATGTCCATCAAATGATGGAGGAAAGCTCGGCACGTTTTCACCCGAAACGAGGGAGGAAGTCTCGTGGACTGCGTCAACATGAATATCGTATAAAATCCAAACGGCTGCAGCATAACGAGATTTATCCGTCATAATCTGCTGAAATCGACTAACGAATCTCTTCTTCATTCAATTTCATACGAAATGAAAGTCTTCCTAACATTGTTATCTCAAGAGATTTATCGAAACCCAGTTTCTCTGCGTATCTACATTTTATAGTTCCCGAATAAAAACTGAATTACCGTAGTGTCACTTAAGATGATTTAGGCACTAAGTTTTTCCTCAATAAAATAAATAGGCCTCATGATGCTATTGAAGTATACTTTGTCTTCCCTTCCAAAAAGCTATATCATACAGACTTGACTGTGGTTTTGACCTCACTTGGGTTCCCTATGCCTCAATTTAATAAAATTTATAGCTGGATTGTCAGTTAAGCAAAAATGTATTTTACATTTAAATTAACTACGTTACTTATCTTTAATATAAGTAGGTTTCGATGCTATAAGAAATTCTTGAAAAGAACGACTTATTCTGTCTCAAAAAGTACTTAAAAAGAAAATTATCTTACCTTTTATTCATTTCTTTATGATTATTATTCGGAGTATATATAGGATGTGAGGAAGGGTTAGTTAGGGTCTTAAACTTAGTCTTAGCTTGAAGTTGTAAGAATGAGATACAGTTATGATGACCTTTTTCAAATGGAATGAAAGAGCAAATTTTTCTTATTGTTTACAGGAATCAAAACTTCACAGTACTACCTAACACATGTTAATTGTGTAGAAATCCTCTATTGTTTTCGGATGCGATTGACTCCATATTTTCTTTATCATGGAATTTCACACTAAACTTAAGTCTCTATAGCAAATTTTTCTTATAGATACGATGAATAACTGGGCTTCGAAAAATCTCTTAGAATAAATAACATTGTAGGGAAGACTTTCACATCGTACGAAAGTGTAGAATGACAATTCTTTTGGAAGATTATTCTAATTCTACTTTGAATTCATTTAGGTGCTTATTGGAAAGTGTTTAGTATTCGGTTGATTGTTGACATGACTCATGATGGCATGATGGCATGACTCAACACTTTTAAACGGTTTTATTGCACCATCTAAAGATCAAATAGAGATAGTCAAAGCGATGCAAAATTAAGCCTTATCTACTGTGCGTTGTCGACAGAGTTGCAATAAATCCCACGATCACCATAAAAAAATAAATTAGATTGTCAAAAAATTTACTGAAACTATTACAATTTCTAGCTTCCTGCTGTCGAATGGGATATAATTTCGTTCAAGAGGTCCAGTCAACACTACGGCCAAATCGATAACCTCGAATGCATCTGAGCGCACCGGACGGGCTTGAAGAGCACTGCATTCTATTTTATGAAACAATCTGACAACATATAATGAGTTTAAGAGTAAACTTAAATAATACTCTTCTCTTTAATCTAACTGGGGCAAGGTCATACAAAAAAATTCGAACCACGCATTAGTTCATTACAAATTAGTATGAGTAAGAAGGTTTCTAAAATCAGAATTTCGAAACCCAGAGTGTAAGGAAGAGAATCCCTGTTTTTGGCCTCTAGTGTAGACTTTTCTTTTTGGAGGAAAGACATCGAAATATGAAATTATATGTTAATACCTGTGAAGCAGAATTCTAAAATGATAGCAAACTATTTCACTCTTAATTGATGGACAATGAAAATACATTGCATATTGAGGTCTAATCACATCCTAGGCATATGAACAGTAAGGTTGTTGGTGCATTCAGAAAGTAATAATACATTTAGTATCTAGTTGAGGAAGTTTGTCAGATCTACCATGCCTATAAAGACGCTGGCCTCAGAAAAAGAGACAAGCGAGAACTTCTTTGTCATTGTATTTGCATATTTCACATTGTGTTCTGCTAAAAAGACTGCAAATTTATTTATGGAGCTGAGAAATAATGCCCTAAAAGGAATAAAAATGCATCTGTTTATCGCTCTACTTGTTTGTTGCCAACAGTAAATTTGGAGATTTGGCCGCACTTTGGCCGAAAAGATAGAAAAAGTATGCTATAAACGAGTAACACCTGAGGATTTGGATATCTATTTGGATATCTAAGAGATCGTCGAACATAAGTTGAGATTCATTTCCACTTTTAGCTAGTAGCCGGAAAGAGGCCAATCAGTTGAGAGTCCTTTAACAATGTCTTAAACTATCCCTCATGTCTGCTCTGTTGGTCATGCTAGCATTGATTTGTATCCGTAGTTTGGCTGCTCAGTTGGCTTGAACTGAAGGCGACCATGGTTGCCTGCTTGATCCTTTTGAGTTCCGCCATCACATCAGGCCGAAAAGAACGCATCGAAAGCGGTACTCGATCGGCAGGAGAATACGACCTGCTGCCGATTCCCAGCAATCTGGTCAACTTGTTGTACGAGCTGCCGCAATGGCAGGCTGGAGGCGCCTCGAAAGCCATGTCAAGCAGGAACCGGTTGCTTTGATTCTCTGCCTCGGTTAGTCCCGAATTTCGCCATTGATCCCACCAAACTTTGCACCAGTCCACAAACAGTCTTCTGGCATATTTGGAAATACTTTGCTTACGACGCGGCAGACTACAGCCTTCCGGCAGGTCGAATTCAATATCCTTCGAGCCGCAGACACGACAAGTCGCCTCGGTCGCTTCAAACGCCTCCGGACGTCGCGTATTATCATCGATGCTGGTCAGCTGAAGGCAGAAGGATCCGAGGCTGTTCAAGCCCAGAGTCCTCTTGGGCTTGGCTGCTGCCTGCGTGGACCCGTTGGGCAGAAAGTACGCTGAGCCGTCGCACCGTTTCGGCGAGGCAAGAGGACTTCTGTCTCTAGACGCATCTTTCGTCTTGCCCGAAGCGGCTCGGGGACGGGCAGGTCTCGATGATCTACTCGCCGACCGGAGGGTAGAACGACGTCGGCTGTTGTTGTTGCACTCGACAGAAGACGAGTTGCCGCCGCTCTGCACTTGAACACTTCTGCTCAATAGGCTCAGCAGGTAGGCATCCGAGTATTGGTCAGAATCCACGTGATCTGTCAGCGAAAGGATGGCCGGACTGTTGAGATCCAGATCAATCTCGGACGAATTGGAAGTGTTCCAGTCGAACGACCTCAACTCACCCATCGTCTCAGTCCGCTGCTTCAATTAAGAGCTGGAGCGAATGCGAGCGTCTACGCGAATTTCGCCGACAGCATTGAACACTTAGACCAGCATGATACACTTCAAATGGGCGGCGGAAGAATGAATTCAATCGATTGCCGGGACGACATTCAAATAAGCCTCTTCCCGCTGCAGCCGCTTATTCTGATACGAAGACAAAAGTGACTTTCGATGACGCTCCTGAGTTAACATTGGTGAGATCGACCAACGAAGTTCTTCTTCATGCACTTTTATACGAAATGAAAGTCCCCCCAAAAAGCCGCTTATTCAGCAAAAAAGTGGACAAAGCAAAATGACTTT